TGCTACACACCACATCATATTGTATATGTTGTAGGGTTCCTCTGCTTCGTGTGTAGATTAACCAGATGATCAGCATAAACATTACCAAACTGTATAAAAAGGGTATCAGTCATGTTATTAATGTTTTATTAGACACAGTACATGACACAGAACACACTTTCACAGGGACTTATGTTGCTTATTACAAACGGTAGCTTTTAAACTCTCAGTATGTTATTAATTTGGTCATTATCTGTCTGTCGAGTGTAAGCATTCTGATTTTTACATGCAACCTACCAATCTCAAATGGCCAGTAAAAACAAAGTTGTGGAAATTTCATTGAAGTACAGCATTTTATAAGAAAGGAAATAAAAGATGAATTTTTATGTATCAAAACAACTTGTTTACTTTCTGCCGTAACAGCTTTTGCAAAACATGCAGTCACCGGTGGATTCTGAGTTTACAGTCCTTCATTTCTTTTCATCCCTGCAGAGTGGACAACTTTTATTCTCTTGGCTCTTAACTTACTTAAGATTAAGTAGGTTAACTTACTTAACCTACTTAATCACTAAGTAAGCTCTTATGTGAGCTTACTTTGTGATGCACTTATAATTTCAATAAGATGTTAATTTGCTCCAAACAAATCCAATGTTACAGTCAAACTGATTTCAATACATCTTTCAATGAACTTTGGTAGTAAAACAAAAATATATATCGCTACCTTAGTGATTCATTTGCTGCTGAAGCCAATTTAAAATAAAAGTATTTGCCCTTGTATTCATATCTGTGTATTATATAAGGCTGCGTTTCACAGCTGGGGAGTGAAACAGCGAGTTTGAGAAAAGAGGAAAGTTTTGTTTTGTTTGGTTGGCACAATAAAAAGATCAGGCTGAAATCATGGCTGTTCATTTGAGGAAAAAAGAAGCAAAGCCTCAGTGTACAGAACTGTGTAAACATCTCAAACCAACTCTCACTTCTTTGAATTTTGCGAGGAAAATGGGAGCAAGTGCAGCGATTTTTGAAACGTATTTAAACACACATGGAAGCCAAAAACAACGTCTGTACAATCCTAAAGTCCAAAAGCTGAAACGCGGCTTTTGGAACTAAACTCTGTTGATATTCACGACTGTACCTCTCTGATATCCTTCGTCCATATTGATGATGATTTAAGATCTGTTGCCACTCATTTCAGTCCGGTTCTTGTGTAGTTTGGCCTTTTCTCTGTTTCCCTTCCTTAAGAGAAACAAATCACGTAAATCACTCAGTTCCCGTGTCGGAGCTTTGACAGATTTTTCTTCCTTTTTTAGGACGTGATTTGTAGATGTTGTTTATCTGCTGTAGACAGTTTCTTTATACAATTCTTCTTTTGTAATTCCCTCGGCCATGACGCTGTTCTTTAGCAATCACCTTGTTGGTACAGACATATTATTCTATGCCTGTCAAAATGTGATATCTTTGGCATTTTTCACAGACATACCTAAAGAAGGGGAAACACACTGTGTGTTTTTGGACGGCTGCAAGTGTGCCTACAAATATGATTTAAAATTGATGTCTTTGTGATGTAGTTTGACATGTGAGGACACATCACTGGTTCATCTCTTGAGTTAGGAGCATTTTTTATGCTTGAATGAGTTATAGGTGAGTGTTAAATAACTTAGCAAGCAAACAAATATTCCTCTGAAAATGAGTGAAAAGCAGGCAACATCCAAACTTCGAAAAAACTCGAGAAAACCTGAAGAACGATTGCTCAAGAACGTCTGTCTCTGTGGAAGAAAAATGTAAAGAAATGAGTTGTTGCTCAACAATTTTACACAAAAGAACATTCAGTTGATTTAAATGATTTTGTCAGAGCTCGTCTCGTGTTCCAGCCCACATACACTGATTTTGAAATGTGGTTTTCTGACAAAGTCAAACTATTTATTCACACTATCAAAGAGGTATAAGTGAACACTAATAAATCGTCCACCTGAAAAACAGGGATCTTCTTGATCATCTTGTCTTGTTGCTGAGTTTTAAGTTGAACGGTTAATGTAGTTACAAATGATATAAAACAGGAACTGAGCATCCTCTACTTCTTTCGTGGCACCTTATCACCGAGCGGTACTTCATCCATCAGTTTCTGAAAAGACACCACAACGGTGATGTTAACACCTTATAGTCATGCAGAAAACACAAAATACATTCTGGTGAAGCAAAGATGCTCTATGCTGTGATTATGAAACACGCAAAATGTCTTTAGAGTCAGTATTCAATAGGGATGGGTACCGGTATCCGGTGCCATGATGGCACCGGTTCTGACATAAACGGTAGTAACCAGACCGAAAAGCAG